AGTGAGAGTCGTGGTGGTGAATATACTGGGCTTCATTAGCTAAATAATGTCTGTGCCTATTAAGTGTGTCTTCAGAGTTAATTAATGTACTTCATATCTTCATACAAGAAATTGTCTAGAAAGGCTGTGGTCATGCTAGTGAATAATGTTTAGTTAATTTTGTGTTTTTTTTTTTAATATCACTCTGTAAACCAGTTTAAGTCACTCACATTTAGAAAAAACAGAATATGCCAAAAATATAATTGAATTTAAATATTATTAAACATTGCTTAATCCTTCTTTCATGACTCAGAACACATTTCAGGACCTCACAGATTGTTAGGGTCATTATTTTGAAAGGAGCTCTCTTAATATAGTGCTCTAGATACAGAAAATAATGAAGACTGGGCTATACCTGTACTGAATTCATGGCATACCTTTTACATATAGGATATTCTTATATACTTATTTGTAATAGTAAATATAAAAGGTGGGAAATGTTTCTAATTTCTATTTCAGGAAATTGAACTTCATAGGACAATTAAGAATAAAGTATCTGGGACCAGCAGGTGGCTTGGTGGTTAAGATGCTGGACACTCCCATATGGCCAACCATGGTTCAAGTCCTGGACCTGGTGGCTTGCTTTTTCACTTTCTCTCTCTTTCTCTCTCTCTCTCTCTCTCTCTCTGGTGAAATGAAAATAAATTAATGAATAAATAGAATTAAATAATTCTTAAAAAAAAAAATAAAGCATTGGGGCTAGCAGGTGGCATGGTGGTTAAGGGTAATGGACTCCTACATGGCTGGCCACAGTTCAAGTCCCGGACTCAGTGGTTTGCTTTCTCACGTTCCTTCTCTCTTACTCTGTCCCTCTCTGGTCAAATTAAAATAAATAAATAAAATAAAATTCAATAAAATAATTCTTTTTTAAAAAGAATAAAGTATCACAGTAACCTACACTTTTTCTTTTTTTTGAGAGGTTTTGCTATAGAGCTCATGCGCTCGCCAGAAAGACAGAGAGAAACAGAGAGACAGAAAGCAAGAAATCACCCCCCAGGGAGGATGGCCATGCTGCAATCCCTTCTCCTCTTTTCTCCTCTCGGGATCTTGGGCATGCACGCACAAGCGCCTAGCGTGAGTTTAAGCCACTGGGTCCGCAACTCAAACCACAGTTGACTACATGGGAGTCCAGCAACATAGCCATTACACCAACTGCTGGTCTCATCTACACATATTTCAAAAGAAGTCATTGGGCAGGTATGCTCTCCAGAGAGATAGAGACAGAAAGCAAGAAATCACCTCCCACAGGGGATGGCCATGCCACAATCCTTTCTCCTCCATTCTCCTCTCTGGATCCTGGGCACACACGCACACACGCCCAGTGTGAGTTTTAACCCGCAAAGTCCAGGACTCACACCACAGTTGACTACATGGAAGTCCAGCAACAAAACTATGATGCCACCTACTGGTCCCAGGAAGTCATGATTCTTAAGAGTGAAGTTAAAAATAATCTTTTCCATTGTAGATTAGATTTTATTCCAAAATAAAGATTAAATCAGGTACAGCCCTGTAGTGCAGCAGTTCAAGCACAATGCATAGGGAGGCAGATCCCACATGCCCGACTGTGGTTCAGATCCCAGCCCTGGTGGCTTGAAAAGCACACTGGGTTCATGCACACACATGCAATGTGAACATGCCCCATTGGGAGTTCTCTATCATTCTCTCTCTCTCTCTCTTCCTCTCTCTATCCAGTGAATGCATGTACCCTCTGGGAAAGGAAAAATAAAAAAGATTTACCCAGACCCAGAGGTGGTGGAATAGACAGGAGGGTACCACTGCATGATTCTGAAATCATAAAGGCAGACCTGGGATTCAGAGCGAAGTTTGACTTGAACATGCCAGATGTGCCTGTAACTGGCTGGCGGGAGGTCAGGGGGCTAATTACAGAGTGGTAAGACTCAATATTGAGAGTATCCCCCCCATCTCGCTCTCTCTTTCATGAAAAGGGAGAAAGGAAGGAAGAAGGGAACTTAAAATGTCTTATCCAATCAGAAATTAATAAATTTAATTCAAGGAATTATATCTAATTGTGGTTTACTTATTTATATATAATTATTTTTAAATCTGTAAATTAAATATTTCTTATATTATCTCCGATATTTTACAGACACATTATTATATAACGTAACCTTATTATAAATACTAAAGGTATCATTAATTTAGCTCACTTTACTTGTGTCTGTTTGTTTATAGTTGTTAGTTTTCTTGATAGTGTGACTTGTATTTGGAGTTAATAAAATCAGATTTATTTTTATATATTAATGGTACAGACCTTTTCCTAAATTGACAGAAGCCTTTTCCCAATTATTTCTTTTTTTAAAAAGAACTATTTTATTTTAACTTTATATATGTCTATATTTTAATTTGACCAGAAAGGGATAGATGAGCGTGAGAGAGAGAAAGTGAGAAAGCAAGCTGCCAGCTACCATGGTCAGCCATGTGGGAGTCCAGTGTTCTTAACCACCATGCCACCTGCCACCCTCTCTTTTTAAAAACAAAAAAAATTATTTTATTTGTTCATTTATTTTCATTTGCCCATTGAGAGACACAGAGGGGGAAAGTGAAAAGCAAGCCGTTAGGTCCAAGACTCAAACCATGGTTGTCCATGAGGGAGTGTCCAGTGCCTTAACCACCACACCACCTGCTGGCCCCCCCTTTTCCTTTTTTTTTTTTTTTTTTTTTTTTTTTTTTTGGGGGTTTTTTTTTTTTTTGTTTTTGTTTTTTTCCCGGGCACATGTACTTCCAGAAAAGAGAGACAGAAAGTGAGAAATCCCCCCCTCCCCAGAGGGGATGGCCACACTGCATTCTCTTCTCCTCTCAGGATCTTGGGCACACACGCACACGCGCCCGGCGTGAGTGTAAACTACCAGGTCCAGGACTTGAACCGTGGTCGACTACATCGAAGTCCAGTGACATAGCCATTACGCTAATTGCTGGTCCCATTCCCAATTATTTCTAATAAAATATTCTGACATTTTTTTTTTCTTTTTTGGCCTATGTAGCTGTGTCTACTATAGACTCCCCAGAAAAAATACCCAGAAAATTTAATCCTAGGTATTTTTGCCATAAGTTCCAATTAATCAGAATCAAGTTAACTGCCATGTAGGCACTAGTTTTACAAAGTGTACAAAGTTAAGGTACTTAAAGAATTTGAGGGCTTCTGGTTTGCAGTTTTCTTAGCATCTATAGTCATATGATAAAGAGAGAACACTGAGTAAATGAGTCCTCTTCTTGAATATGACTCTATCCAGGAGGATCTTTTTTTTCGTTAACATATCTGTCTGTCTCTTATTGAAAATATCTATTAGTACCAGATAGCAAAAAGCTGACAAAATGCTGTTTAAATGTATTAAGGTTCTTTATCAAGACCTTTCTTAAGGTTCTCAAGATCTCCTTTTACCTCCCTCTTGATCTTAGGTGAGATTGAAATTTATAAGTCTTTAGGCACATCTGTCTCTATAAGGGATGCAAATTTGTAATTTCAGAAATTCCAGGGCCCAATAGAAAGCACTGTCCAACCATTTACAGATATTCTCTAAGCCAGGTTTCATCACAGACAACTCTATTCCACTGTCATGTGCCAAGTAAAGTATTAGGTTACTGTGTGGTGAAAACAACCAAGTCCTGGTCCAGACTCCTGCAGGACAAGAGTCCATTACACTGTCCTTTTTGTTCTGCCCAATGAACTCAGTGGTGGTGTTACCTTTTACTAGTTGACAGAGGACTCATTGGTAAAAAGTAACCAGATTAGAGGCCAGCAGGTGGCATGGTGGTTGGGGCACTGGACTCCCACATGGCCGACTGTTGTTCCCATCCTAGACCTGGCAGCTTGCTTTCTCTTTTTCTCTCCCTCTGGTGAGTGCATGTGCCCTATACCAAACTGAATAATAATTGTTATTATAAATAAAATGTAATAATTTTTAAATTTACATAACTGTATTAGGTTGTTGGTAATTAACCAACTAAAATCAAGAATCCTTGACTCTGACCAGTATTAAAAAGGAACAGTAGTAATACTTTGATTGTGCCATTGTAATTTTTCTGTAGAGAAACACCCAAGACTCACTATCTGTAGTTTTGAAATCCGTATCTCTTGGGGCCAACAGGTGGCATGGTAGTTGAAGTGGTGGACTTCCACATAGCTGACCATGGTTCGAGTCCTAGACCTGGCAACTTGCTTTCTCATTGCCCTCCACCCCCGTGTGTGTGTGTGTGTGTGTGTGTCTGTCTGTCTGGTTAGATAAAAAATTAGTAATAAAAACCAGCAGATGGCATAATGGTTACATTGCTGGACTCCCATGTAGTCAACTGTAGTTTGAGTCCTGGACCCAGGGGCTTAAAACTCACACTGGACACTTATGCATTCATGCCCAAAATCCTGAGAGGAGAATGGTGGAATAGGGATTGAGGCATGGCCCTCTCCCCTGGGGAGTGATTTCTCACTTTCTGTCTCTCCAGTGAGTACACATAGCCTATAGCAAAAATCTCTCCCCCCCTAAAAATAAATAAATAAATAATAAAATGTAATAAATAAAATATTTATATCTCTAATGTTTTCAAAATTTCACTGCCAAGAAACATAGTCAGACTTAAAGCTTTATTAGGGAACCATGATCTAATTCATGCAAACACTTCCTTTAGCTCATAGTTTCTGCTCAGTCATGTTTACTGGTCAAACAGGTACTTCTACCATTTACCATCATTCCTTCAAAATTCAAACAATCCAGGTATAATTTTCGCAAGACATGCACAGCATCTGTCCGCTGAAGAATACAGTAATGTGTTACTTGCAGATGACATTGTACCTTGGTCCCCAAATGCTTGTGTACGGAACATGGAGCGCATGCTGTCTCTTTCTTTGAATGATGGGTAATGAAGGACCTTTAAACGTTACTGGGTGAGCTTGTATCTTGGGTGTAACAAAGAGAAGTTAGAATGTTTTTCTTTGGTTTTAATTGCAGAAAGTGAAGTCACTGCTTTCACTGTCTTGGATCAAGACCAGAAAGAAATTATTGACACCAATGGAGCTGGAGATGCATTTGTCGGAGGTACCAAATCATTTATTTCACACTTACTTATAAGTTTAACATCTTAACCTTTGTCTCTAACACAGATAGCCAAGATTTATTAATTTAATAACTTTTAATTTTTTCTTTTAAGTAATTAACTCCTGATTTTCTTTCCATATGTTGCCATCACCGTGAGTATTATGAGGGGATTTTACTACAGGCGAAATATGTGGTTGGCAAAGATAATTTGCTATTATGCTACACCCCAGTCATTTTCACAAGATTAATTGTATCTGTCAGAATATTGCATAAACAAGCTGCATCAAGTACAGTATATAATATACTCATAGCCATCAGGCTTAAATGTTAACACATTGTTGCTCTTTAAAATAAGTTGGGGTGAATATTAAACAGTATGCTAATAGCTAAAAATGATGTCTTTAGATTATACCCTTTGGTTAAAACATCTGTTTGTATCACAACTGTCAGTGTTTATTATACCAAGAAGGGTTAAATTTTTGCCTAATTCAGGCTCAATAAGAAATGGCAGGTTTTATATGGAGTAAATCATTTTGGGAATGGGTATTCAAAAATAAGATCAAGACAGTGGAAGATTTTTGGCTTGACTTAGATTGATTTAAAATGTGATTCCGAAGTTCTTTTGATGAGTTTAAATTCTTTCTAGTTAAATGTAGTTAAGCTACATTTAGGATGGTCTAAGGAGGTGTCTTTTGATCTTTCTTTCACATAACATCAAGCAAGACAAGCTAAAAAAAGGGAGATAGAGCTTACTATTCCCCTTTTCCTGAGAGGATAATTTGAATCCTGGGACACTTATGTAAATTTGTGTGATGATTTCAACTCAATATTGCTTTTTTAAAAAATAATCTTTTATTTTAATGACCTCTTTACTAACAAAATTTTCCATTTTTCTTTCTTGGAAATTATTGATGCTGTCTTACCTGGACTGTTAACAGTCAGGATGCGCTATGTCTTACATCCTTCCAAAAGCATAAGTACCACAGCAACATTTTACTTTGCTGTTAGGCTTGCATTTTTTTATTTCTTGCTCTGAAAGCCTTCATCATTGATATTAGAGTGCTACAGCTAATTTTTCTGTTCTCTACCCCTCAGTTATACATCTATGTAGCTAAAAATACTTTATTTGAAATTAAGCCATATTCTGTAATACATTAAGATTTCCTGGTTAGAAATTGATTAAACTAGGTATCTTAGTTCAGGAACTTGTAAACCTGTACGCTGTATGTGCATTAGTTAAGTATTAGATCATCGGAAAAGTCATGATGTGTTTTCCTATGCAAAAGTGAGTCAAGACTTTTCCAATGATCCAGTATTTTAAAATCCTTAAAAACAGGTCGTACTATTCTCTTTCTTTGAGATTCTGTAAGACGCATAATGAGGCCATAATAGATGTAATGGTGACCTAATTAGTTACTACCTACCTCTGGCCCTTGGGTCCTGAGCTTCCTAGTCCTGCAACAATAGGTTCTTCTACACCTAACCACCTGTAATGCTGCCAGTACTAAGTAAGAACAGATAGGCTTTTTGAGGGAAAAGAGGCCGTTATTCAGATACAGAGTTATAAGAATAGCTAGATAGTATTTGTATTGTTAGAATGATAAATGAACTACTTCATCAAAGTAGTTGGAATTTTGTTAAAGGATTTTCACTCTTTTTTAACCCCACTCCACTTATCCATAGCCTCATCATAGTTATAATTTGGTTCAGTTAGGTCAGTAAAAAGGAAATAATGTGGAACAGGGGGCCACCCTTTTTTTTTTTTTTTTTTTTTTGTAAAGGGACAGATAGTGACTATTTTAAACTTAGTAAGCCACATGCAGGCCATATTGCATATTCTTGTTTTGTTTGTTGGCTTGCTTGTTTTTTGTTTTTTGTTTTACAACACTTTAAAAATGTAAAAACCTTTCTTAGTTCTCCAGCTATACAAAAATGGGCCATGGGCCAGATTTGGCCCACATGTTAGTTTGCCAACCCCTTGTGTAAACATTGGCAGCTTCCTCACTTTATTCATTTCTATCATATCCAGGCTCCAAACACTGGATTTCACCATACACTATAGAAATCAGAGAAGAGAAAGTGGAAAGCTGAAACTAAGCAGGACCTCACCAGCAATACCTCAATTACATAGCTGTTTTTCTCACTTTAAACCTATGCTGATCAGTTCCCTAAGTACTAGGTCATGCAATGAGATGAAATCTCTAATGTCAGTATACGGATAGAATTCGTACTTTGTCATATTCAGTAGATTCTGTCTATAAAGTCAAGCTAGAGAGTAATGCAAATCACCTTTAAGAGTTCATGGAAAATGCATATTATGAAAATACTACACGTGTATTTTCAAAACTGTTTGCACCCAAAAAAACCTGGTATTTCAATTCCATTTTTCATAAACTTTTCGAAATTCCCTGGTAGCAATTGATAACCTTTTTCTTTGCTGGTTGATTCAGTTTTTGTTTTTAAGACAGTCTCACTATATCACAATCCTGTTTCAGCCTCCCAGGCAACTGGGTTTACAGATGACAGGCACGCACTACCACACCCAACTTTTTCATACAGGGTGCTATGTTTTGCCCATGCTGGCCCCAAATTCACAGTGCTCCTGCCTCGGCCAGGCAGCTGGCTTTTAAGGTTGGGCCTGGAATTGAACTCAGACTTTTCTTGCAGCATCAGTCTGCTGAGTGGCAATGTCTACCAACACGTGCTGCTGCAACTGGGCCATAAATAACCAGCCAGTCGATATTTTTAAGCACTTCACATATATGAACTAATTTAGTGTTCATGAAAGCTTCTTGATGTAAATTATTTTTAATCCTATTTTACTGATGAGAAAACAGGCAAAAAGAGGCTAAATAACATGCTCATAGTCTCCTAGCTAGAGTAGCAGAGACAGGAGTCAAACTAGCAGCCCAGCTCACGTCAGTGCTCCTGCTTACAGCACCACACAGCTTCTCTAAGCATCCAGGGAAACCTCATCATTAGAGCTGAGAACCACAGACCACTGGTCTTTACAAAAGCTAGTGTTGCCGAAGAGAATCTTCCTATTATCTGGATACATCACTTCATTTATTGAAGAAGGGCTTTTGTTATCTGATAGGATTTTGAGGACTCTAAGGTAACACTGTAGCAGAAAAGAAAAAGAAACTGAAAGGCAAGAGAATCGAACGATCATAGTCCCTGGTGAGTTTGAACCAAGAGCTTTTTGTTAGGTAGTGGAATCGATCGCACTACGGAGATACAGAAAGCCAGACCATAAACTTGCTTGGTTAGCATGGAATCCAAATAAGAAGAATTATATAAATCAACTATCTAATAGCACCAGGCTAAGCTGCCTGATGCATCCATCTTACAATAGAGTGATCTCGTTGGTTGGAAATACAGGGGAATAAAAAAATTGATTAAAACCCCTTGCTCCCATCTCTGGACCAGCAAGAGCCTTTTTATTGAGATTTGACATCATTCCAGCTGTTGAAGACTTCCTCTACCTGGGACTTGAAGTGAGAGGCAGTAGCAACTTTTACATTTACTATGTAGTTTCTTATGTTTTGCTTCATTGCCTGATTAACATAGCTCCTTTCTGATTGACACATTCTATCTTTAGATAGCTAATGTATTCATCCTGTTACTTTCAAGTTTTGTTAGCCTGAGAGTATTTTTGTCATTTGTGACTTTGCATATCTCTATTCCGGTCTACCTTGTGGTGGTTTACCTCTCTGAAGGACAATAATTTTCTTTTTGAAGGTTTGAAGTTTGGGACTAAAACATCGCTCCAGCTACCATGTGCTAATTACATACCCAAAGCCAGAATGCCATGTGTTCCTCTTAGCTGGTTAAAAGATATGACTGCATTATGGATTATAGTGTGTAACTTTAAAACAAGTGCTCCAAATATACATAATTAAATTCATAGTTCCATCCCAAGGGTTTAGTGACAGTGACAAATTCCTTTAGCCTCTACCAGCATACTTCCCTGTTCTATTTGGAGGTCTTAAGCACTTTGTAACATCTGCTCTTTGTCACTGGCCAGCTCTAAAGGAACTACTCTTTTTACATTCTTCCTCCAAAGTGGTTGGATTGTACCCTTAGAAATAGGGACAATTCTATAATCTCTAAATATGATTTCCTAACTTTTCTCCAGGTCAAGAGAAATTTTCTTCCTGTTGTCCTGCTGTGCTTTGTCACAGCAGGCCTGCCTTTCCATTTGGAACCCTCTTTGTCACTGCCATAGTAACAAATGAAAACATTGAGAACATTTTGTGACAGGCACTGTCATTGTTCCTGGTGAAATCTCTTCCCTAGTGTCTTCCCAGTAAATGAAACTGAGAAGAAAAATCGTAACAAATAACATAAAAGGAGACCTAATCAATATGTTCCCACTGGGCTGTCAATACCAGCCTGTGTTAATCTAATACGATTTAGCTGTATGTTTTATGGCAGCTGTAGGAATAGGGACTGGATCTACAGATCACCTTCACACTGAAAATGGAGTACACCTTTGACAGATTATGTGCAGGCACATTCACACAAGACTCAGGGAAGAGACCAGAGACTTCACTCGAGGACCAACATGATCAGGATTTAAAGAAAGAAGAAAAAAAAAATCATGAAGTGTGATTAGGAGCCATATGTATTGTAGCTTAGAATAATTATGTTGAATGATAATAAAGTAACCCTGCTGCCTATGAATGCTTTTTATTTTCAAAATTCTCATGACAGCTTTAACAGGGAAAATGTATTTACCTTACAATATCCAAAGACTTGCACTTAAAGCCACTTAGCAACTATAATGTAAATAATTATCCTACTCCCCATCTAATAAAAAAAGAGAGCATTAATTTCACTGCCTAATGCATGTTTAGAAAAGAATTTGGTTTAAAAAAACAGTATTTCCAGAATAAGGATGCTACTTCCTCTTCATATAATACCTGTCTGTGCTTCTGAAAGCCATAGAGATTATCCAATTATCTTCATATTTCCTAGCCTCACCTTGTTTGTTCCCA